TAAAAATGGACAGAAGGTCAACATTTAGTGCCCCAAATATCTCAACCTCAAATTCCTGATGATTTTCTCCTGTAGGGAGCCAACCTCAGGTTTTCTTCAGTCAATCAACTAATGTTTGAGGACTTTTCCTATTATTCTTGATTTTCTTAAGCAGAAAGTCCTACTTGCCTTTCAAATGTCTGTTGTCTTCTATTCTGAGCTCCTTTCCTTAAATCTTTACTGATCATTTTCTTTGCTCAAATGGTTTTTCCTTCCTTCCAGTTCTCATTTTGCTGTCAGAAACTAGACCATGTGTGTGCTTTGCCTTTTTAGTTTCTTAGGAAGAAACTACCCTCCCTGTTAAGCAGCCATAGGCACTGTTGCTGCTCTTGCTGAGAACGGCGATCCACACAGGTCTGCAGTGCAGGTCTGCAGTGCAGGTCTGCAGGATTCAGCTGAGAGGAACCTTTGTGATCTGCATTGTAGGAAATGAGTCTGGGGGCAGGGTTGTAACTCAGCAGTGCCTAGCATGTACAAGGCCCCAAGTTCAATCTCCAGCACCACAGAAGGAAAGAGAGAGTGGAGAAAGAGAAAGGAGGGAGAGAGAGTGCGGGGGTAAGGAGGAAGGGGGAGGAGAGGAGGAAGAAAGGAGAGAGAGAGGGAGGAAGAGAAGAGAAAGGAAGAAAAGAAGTCTATCCTCTCTTATTACTCCACAATGTAGCTGTGCTGTAGATGTTGCCATGTTGGATGCAGGGAAGAGAAGAGCGTGGGTGGGATCCAAATCCTCTCTCTCACCCCTTACTAGCACGGTGATTTTAAGCAAACTTAGAGAGCTTTAGGAAGTGAGAACAATAATCTCTATTTCATCAGGTTGCTGTGAGGAATAAATATGGAGACTCTCCTAGTAGCACTTAACAAGATTCCTGAACCTGGTGGTGTTTAACCGTCCCTAGAATTTCACATGGCCTTCCTTACAGAAGCCTCTCCTGGCCACTTGTGTCTCCAATGGCACCTGAGTCATTCCTCTCCCCTTACCCTGCTTTGTTCTTTGGCAGAGGGCCATGTTGTGTCCCTGCTTGACCACGTGAATGCGCACTGTCTTACTCCCTATTGTGTTCGCAGAGCCTAGCACATTGCCTGATTCATGTTTGATACTTCATAAATATTTGTTCAAAGTGTGCATGACTGTGATTAGGCAGTCACATGAATTAATTTTTTGAGATCCTTACTCAACAATAATGATTGAGTATAAGGAGTCTGGCATATAGATTATTGATGATTTATGGCCCAGGAAGACTGTTTTGGCTAATTACCAGAAATTAGCATCTGAGAGTGAAAAGGAAGACTTAATGGGTAGAATGTTGTTAGTTTTATTATTGTTTGGTAAGGAACTCTGACCTGGTATTTCTCATAGTGTTCTCATTTTCTATTACATGACTAATAGAAAGGAATTCACTCAACTATCAGACTTTTTTGTTGTTGTGGATTGAACCTGGAGCTTCACACATGCTAGGCAAGCACTTTCCTACTGAACTCCAGCCTTTTGTTTTGTTGTTGCTGCTGTTCTGTTTTGTTTTGAGACAGGGTCTCACTGAGTTGCCCAGGCTGACTTCAAACTCATAATCCTCCTCTCTCATCTTCCCGGAATGTTGGGATTACATGCATGCACCAGTGTGCCCACCTAGAAAATATTTTGCAAGCCATGCTGCAGTGACTTCATATCTGCAATCCTAGCTGAGATCAGGTGGTTTGTGGTTCAAGGCCAGCCTGGGCATAAAGTTCACAAGACCCCATCTCAAGCAATAGCTGGGTTTGGTTTTGTGTACCTGTTATCCCAAGCTACAGAGGAGGCTGAAAGCAGAAGGATCTGGTTTTCAGGCCAGCCCAGATATAAAAGTTTGCAAGACCCCCATCTCAACAGAAAAGAGCTGGGCATGGTAGGACATGTCCGTCAGCCAAGCTTACAAGGGAAATTTAAAATAGGTTTATAGTCCAGGTTAGCACCTATGCAAAAAATGAGAACCTGTCTCCAAAATAACCAGACCAAAATGGCTGAAGGTATGGTACAGGCAGTAGAGCACCCATCTCTCTAGCATAAAGCCCTGAATTCAAACCCCAGTACCACCAAAAAATTTTTTTCTTATAGAAATTACTCTCTCTGATTATCTGCTGATCATTTCTCACCCCACATAGCTCTTTTCCTTATATGTAATGCTGTTTTAAATCATCAGATCTTCTGAAGAAAAAAATGTGATTCTAAAAACATCATTTCATTTGAGAATGATTTCTTGGCAAGCCACAGGATATGAGTTGTTAAGGATTGTGATAAAATCTATGAGGGGGTAGTAAGGAAGAAATCTACGCCTCCTTTTCATGTGTGCTAACATGACTTGTTAAAAATTGCTTTGTTACAATGTTGTCTGTATTAATTCTTCCATAATTTTCATACCTAGTGTTGGGTTTTGAAATAAACTAAGGTGTCCTTAGATGATGTGGCTGAATTTGCAAAATTATCTCTCTCAAGTGGCACATTGTTCTGCTAATAGAGAAAACATGAGAATATGATACTAACAGCACAGCTCCTTGCAACCAAGGACACATCTTTCCTGTGTTAGCACCCCCACCTCCACCCCTTGCCCCCTGCCACAATACCTAATCCTCTGCCTGCTGCTCCATGAGCAGTCAGCAGGGGTTGATGGTGATAGCACATCCCTTAGAAGTCATTAAAGCAAGCTGTAGTTAATGTGTTTAATCATTTTCGATGAACCAAGTCGTCTTTCTTCTTAATCACTTTAGAGGCGTTCCCTGCATGCAATTCAGTTATCTGACATTCTTCCGAGTGCCCAGTACTGAGCTTTTAAGCAACATCTTTAACTGTGGCTTGCTGAGATTGTAATCCATCAATGGACTTGATATTCTCGGTGGATCCATGGGTATCCAGGAATTAGAGGGGTCTTTCTCTTACATCATGGCAGGAGAAGCCGGAAGTTGCAGCCGATAGCTACCTTAGAAGTGTAACTTGTCAGACTCTATTCTTTCCCAGCTCATTTCTTGACTCCTCCAACCCCAGACTCCCTACAAGAAGTATTGGCAGTCAGACCACTTCATCACAAGGCAACACTTTATTTTCTCTGACTTTGGGAAATCCAAAACATTATTATGTCTTCTTAGCCCTGAGGAAGCTAAATATTTTCCCTTCTTTCCACTGACCTTATCCTCTTGAAGTATTTTCCTGGCCTCTCTGCTTTAATAGGTGCAGGGCTCTGTACTTCGTACAGTTACTACACTCAAGTGGTTCAAGTTTGCAGGGTCATATAGTGGAATGCATATGGTAGCCCCTTAGAAATGTGGCATTGAATGAGTAAAGCAAAGCCCAGTACGATGAGTTGAGGCTGAGCTTTGAGAAGAAATGCAAAAGGGTCTTCCTCAGCCTAGGAGAGGGGGTGAGGGTCCCCTGACTGTGCTCATGTATAGCTGCAACCACACAGGACAAGGTGACCCCAGCACTCACTCCCTTTCCACTCCTGGCCCACGTGATTGATACACAGAGCATTACCAGCATTAAGCAGATGGGACGAGGATGCATTTCCTAGGAACGCCGCTCATCATCTGATAAATGGTTGCTCTGGTCTCCTTTTGTTCTGCCATTCCATTTCTAATGGAATTGTGCTATTATAGATTGAGATTCATTTCCCAAAGGGGTTTTTACTGAGTCTGACTAACTCATATTCCCAAGAATTCCTCAGTCTTATGTCTCCTTGTGGGACCCTCATAATTCCATGGTCCTGCTGGTGGACCTTAATTCTAATTTGCTTATAGTTTTCTAAAGAAATAATTCTCTGTGAACTGTTTCATTTCTGAGCAACGTTTCTATTCAGGGAACCTAATGATACAGTTGACATCTTAGTACAGAGGTTTAAGATGGTTATTTTGCGTGTGTGATACTGGGATTTGAACTGAGGGTCTCGTGCTTGCTACGCAGGCACTCTGCCCCTTGAGCCACTCCACCAGCCAAAGAGGGTTATTTTTAAATGATGATGTTAAACCTGATGAAAAGCAAAACACTCACGAGTCTGAGAATGAAGGAGCGCTACCTCAAGATCTGGCTTTCTTTACAAAGAAGGAATATATCAAAAGGGACAGAAGTTCAAAAGATGGCTTCTGAGGAAAGAGGATTCAGGGGAAGACTGTTTTTAAACTTGGGCTTGAACTCAGGGCCTCATACTTGTTTGGCGGGTGCTCTACCACTCAAGCCCCCAATCCTTTTTTAATTCCTTTACTTCCAGATAGGGTCTCATGCTTTTGCACAGCTACCTCCACCTCTGTGTAGCTGGATTGTAGGCATGACCCACTACTCTAGGCCCCAGAGGAAACCCTTGTTGCACATTTGCCTACAAAAAGAGATATAAAAATATTAATATACCAAAGCTTTTCTTAAAATTTTGTGGAGTTGTTTTTGGATTTCCAGTCAAGGAATTTTATGCACAATAGACTTCTGTTATTGATTAGTTAAGTTTAATCAAGGTGGTGACATGTGAGAAGTGGGGCCATCCTTAGTTCTGATCAAGACATCATTCCTGTAAATAAGCTCTGTGGATGTGGCGAGAATGCTGTGAGGTTTGTATTTATTTCAGCATGCCTTCAGCTATCTTGCCATAATTAAAGACAGGATAGGCAGAATTTCAGGAAATTAAATCCAGAATCTGAAATTTGCATTGTATTCTAAAATAACTGCCTGTGTTTTAATCAAACAGAAATACAAATTGGTAAGTTTTTTGTTTCACGTCTTTTTTTTAATCTACTTACCTTACTACCTAGTAGAGTGAACAACGAAATGTCCAAAACAAACAGAAGCATGCAGGCAGAAAGGGAGAGGCAGCAGCAGCAAAGGGTCAGGTTAACATCACACAAAATGATGAATAACCAGACATCAGCAGAAATAATTTCAAATTAAAACTACTGGCTCTGTAGATTACAGCAGCCACAGTACTCCTACTAATGTTTATGTTTCTTTTTTCTAGAAAGAAAAAAAGGGTTTGCTAAAGTTGCTTTCTGGCGCCTCCACAAAACGGAAGCCCCGTATGTCCCCCCCAGCATCACCCACCCTGGAGGTGGAGGTGGGTGGTGGCGAGCTGCCCCTGCAGGGAGCCATGGGTCCTGAGCTGCCGCTAGGGGGCGCCCATGGCCGGGCCGGCTCCTGCCCCGCCGATGGGGATGCACAGGTGGCCTCGGGAGCGTCAGGAGCAGCCTCAGCCCAGGAAGCCTTCCATCGCAAGACCAGCTCCCTGGACTCCCCTGTGCCCATCGCTCCACCTCCCCGGCAGGCCTGTTCCTCCCTGGGACCTGTCATGAATGAGGCTAGGCCTGTGGTTTGTGAAAGGTGAGTTCATTCACTCCAGGAGAATCCTAAGAAATGAATAGCAAGCTTTATGCCTGAAAGTTTCTTCTGATATGTAAGACATTTTTCTGTAGCCTCCTAAAAAATTTTAAACTGAAGTTGTAATAACAAGTTCTGACTTTGTTTTTCACTTGCTCTAACATACTGTAGACTTTTTTTCCTTCCGTGCTGCTTACCAGCTTTGCTTTTGTTTCCAGTCAACCATTGGAGAACTGTATGGAGATAGAATCTGTCAATCACTGGAAACTCGCAGACTGACTTCCTTCTTCTTGCTTCTTCTCCATTGTTAGCAGGCCCTCCCTGTTTTTAATCCTTTGTCTTTGTAGGGCTTACATCATTACCTGATGGTGTTGTAGCAACTGGAGAATTCTGCCAGCCAGAGAATCCTTTTCTTCTTCCTCCTGAGCCACAAGAGTGTGTGGCTCAGTTCTCGGTTCTCACTCCCCTCCTAGCCCAGTGACTTGGTTCATTTATTCTCAGAATCATGAGCTCTGTTTCAGTGATTCTGGCCTTGAATACTGATTACAAATGGAAGCAGTTCTGTTTGATACAGCCAGTGGGGATCGAGGAGTGTGTTAGGAAAGAAAATATTCTTAATATGGCAAATATCTACTAGGATTATGTGAACTGAAAAGCAAAATACTATTCATTGCCCAAGAAAACGTCATGAAGAACACTAACAATACTATACTCTTTTCATATAACGTATAAACATTTACTTATCATTTCTGTAAGTTTCATTCCCTCTAGACCTGCATTTCATAAATAAATTTCCAATTCACGGAGGTGTTGCCTTTTGGTAGCATTTTCTGTGTCACTGATTTGATTTTGTTGTTGAGACATGATCTTGACTTCTTGCCCAGGTAAGTCTCAAGCTCCTGAGTTCAAGTAACACTCCTGCTTCCACCTACTGAGTTGGTTAGGACTGCCAGTGCCACTGTACCTGTTTTGTATTGCAGATCTGCAGTCATACTATAAAGTATCATACTTTATTTTTTTCCATTTTTATTAGGATATAGTCCTTGTATGGGGGGATTCGTTTTGACAATTCCAAATAACCTTGCATTGTACATTGGTTAAATCGCCCCCACCATCTCGCCCCACCTCACCCCACCTCACAACTCCCTTCCTGCCCCTCTTAAAGCAAGTGCAAGAGGTTTCATCATTATTTTGTATATATATATATATGAAGCCCATCAACTGCATTCCCTCACCTTCATCTCCTCCATTCACGCTGCCCCTCCTACAAATACCCCTCCCCACACACTGTACCTATTTTACAGTCCTGTCTTTCATTAATTCCAAAGTCAGTGTTCAAAGGGGTTTCTCAAAGTATCCCTGCTGTGATATGCTTAAATTCACCTTACCTTTGTATTTCAGATGGAACCGTGACAACATTTGTACTCACCAAAATCTGAAACTTTTGCTCATATGATTTTGTGGCACACTTTTTTGCTTAAAACTATGAAAAATGGAAAAGAATAAACATCAAACATGATGTGTGTATGGTTCATAAAGTAATGATAAAATATTTTTAATAGTCGAGGGTAAAAGTTTTCTGTAGTTTCTGACCTTACAAAGATCAGTTTTAAGCCAGATTTTTACCCTAAAAGAGTATTCCCTCATATCAAATGAATCATGCTAATCCTTCTCTCATTTATTGTGCTCTTAGTTGTCCTGACTTTCACTTCATCCTTTATTCGGAGAGTCAGCTTTTTTCC